CCCCCAGCAATAGGAAATCGTGTATGCTTACCTTGTACGTGCATGTGAGAACCCGACGTGGAACGAAGGGTCTCACCGCAACCAGCAAAATCAGCATCAGCGAAGATTCCGACTGAGAGAGTTGCGATCGGATCGCCAACCCATCCAATCATGCGCTTGTCTAGAGTACTGTTGACATAGCACATGAGATGATGCAAACGAGCATCATCATTGCTGGTCCATTTATTCACATTCCTGGCCAGCATGTTGATTGATCTCAATAGATCGAATCGAGCAATTCTGGCAGCATACAACAACTTCATGAGTATACTCGCTGCATGTGGCGCCAAAGAACCACGGTTTCCATCGTCCGGAGTGACGTCAGATTCGGATTTGGAATGCAACTTACCAGAATACTTGGGGTCAAAGGTGTTAGCACACCATGGACACGTAACGGCCTCTTTCCCCGGAGCGGGTGCTCGTGCGGGATGAGATTTGGTTTCTTCTGGGACGCTTGGTGTCGTGACCTTCTTCAATTTTGTATCATGACCGACAATGTCTAAATACTTCTCGACAGACAGTTTCAACAATCCTTCCATGTTGTATGAGACGGTGTTGACTACTGTTCCATCGTGGAGTTTGGACTCTCCTCGTGTGAGCATGCAGCCGAGATAAAGTCCAAGATCAGTCTCGGGCTCAATCCTGAGTTTCGTTCGTAGCATAGACCATCCTTTGGTCATGTTCTCGGTTGGTCCGGCAAGCTTCAGGTCGTCCACATATATAACGAGAAGAAGTTTCAGGCCTTCATGAAAATACATTGATGGCCATTCATCACCAATTGGCTTGAAGCCAAGATGGCGCACCTGCGTATCGCAGTGCTTCTCCCACATTGTACCTGCGTCCGGGTGTCCATACAAGGCTTTGAGGAGGCGTACCACTGGTCGATGATACTTTGATACATCAACATCATCTGGCCACGCGTCTGACGGTAACTCGACCCAACAGGGCGGTCCCGTAAGAGAAGCCTGAATGTATGCCTGAATCGCATCAGCGAGCTTGACCGAATGTCCGGGAACACATCCATAGAAATCTGCCCATCTAGAAGATTCAAAGGATGCTGGTGAATTGCCCAAGTCCTGAAAGAAAGCTGCTTCCCAATTCTGATTCTTCACTTTGTTTCCTAGCAATACTCCTCTTCCCTTAAATTTTCGTCTCTCATCACTCATTGGCAACTGGTAGTTCTTTTCCACAATGATGCCATGGACCCTTGCAAAGTGCACGACCTGCTTCAGAGTGAGCGCTTCTTGTTTTACGTCGTGATACTCCCGAATCACAGAGAAGTCGAACACTCCTTGCTCATGAAGTCCCAACCATTCTTTTCTCATTGAGGCTTTGGCCTTGGGATTCTTCAGCATTTCTGCTCGACTAACAGGTCTGGAGACTGCTGCATTGAACAGGTTCCGATAAGCACTCATCGGGTTCGTTGCGTCGGCATATGTGTATCTTTCTCGATGTTTGGAGATCGAGTTGATGCAGGGCATTGACGGAAATGACAGGTGATGATCTTTCAAGTTCTTTGTGAAATCTTCGGTTGTACATCTATTGGATTCCGTTGGCATTGCATATGCTACTGCCATATCATTGAGGATTTCTCCACTGTTGACATCAATGATATTGAGTGGATCCCAAGTAGCACGTGGGCCGAACCCATTCTCCACACTCGTCCATTCCTCCCATTCGACTAAGTAATCGTCGTCGCTTGGGAGTTCTGTGGAAAGTGTAGATGCCGAGGATGGACTATGGCCCCCCATGTCATCGTCATCGGTGATCAGCGTCCGATCTTTCTTCAGATCGATGAAGATGTTGGGCGATACGTCCTTAGGATCATCATCCTTGTCCTCCTTCTTTTTCTTCTTCCTTTTGTCCTTGCTGGATCCCGCACCTTTACTCTCTCTCTCTTTCATCTTTTCTTTCTCGAGAGCTTCTTTCTTCTCAGCGATAGCTCTATCAGATAGAGACAACGCTTTCCATTCTTCTGGAGTATATTTTGATCTTGGTCTCGGTGATGACCTGAAGAACCTTCTTCCGTCTGATCCAACCTTATATGGATTCCCTTTCCTGTCCAGTTTCACGGTTTCACCATCATCATTCAAGTAGATGATACCATCACTTGCTTTTCCCATGGACATGTGATCCATTGAAGGATCTCCAACTGGCGGGTGATCTTCCCTGCCGGTCGAAGGTGGTACCTTCGCCTTGGCAGGTTTGGACAATATTTTGGAGTGACCGCCATCAGGTTTTGGATCATCATCATCACCGGGATCATCTCGTTCTTCATCATCTGCTTCATGATCTCCAATGGCGTCTTCGTCGTCCTCATCCCTAATCTCCCTTTCCGCAAGCTCCTCAAAGTCCATACCGGGCTCAGTTGGTTCGTAATCTCCATAGTCAATCATTTGACTAGGATCTCCGACCTCTGGCTCTCCATCTCTCCTGTCACGGATCTTCATGCCTTCCAACGTGTTGTTGATCTTCTCGTATCCTTCCTTCAACGGGAATTCGATGGGAGCGAGGAATACCAGGGTCTCTGTGATCTGTGGTGTGAGCAGCTTTCTGATAGGGCGATTGGCATCAAATGCAAGGCTTTGATGTGCAAAAGTTTCAAGACTCCACACTCTGTATTGTCTCGACCAGTTCATCCCGGGCTTGATCTCATATCCGGCGAAAATACCTGGGATTCCCTTGGGATCAAACTTGTGCTTCTGCTCAATCCTTCCTTGACTGCTCGGCATGAAGAAGACCTTTGCACCAAAGGGAATTTTCTCTCCATGGAACTCTTTTCCATGTAGCTTGTACCAAGGACTCACTCCATCCTCTCCTTCCTCAATGTTCAAAAGATGACTGACGCACTCTACTGCATAGCTCCAGAAACATGGTGGTAACCCCGCTTCCAAGAGACAAGTTGCGGTTGTCATCATAATGAACTGATTGTTCCTCTCCGCCAGGGAATTGTTCTGAGGATGGTTCGGTAGAGAGTGATCGAATGGGATCTTCAGCTGCTTCATAGCCGTCTCAAACTCTGGGGCTTTGTCGGCATAAGCAATCTTGATCTTCT